GTACGTAAAAAATTTCAGTATCAGGTACGTATTGTTCTAGTAACAAAACTAGTACGCATGCTAGTACGGTATTGACAACTTTGGTTTTCTTCCACTAGGTTTGGTCTCCTCGTAGCTTTTTCTCTTATGGTTCTTTACTTGCAAATCTTTCCTCTGCTCAAACATATCCTTCTATTTTTTCAACAAATCATTAAAGCTAGTTGACTAACGTTTATGTGAAGATTCTAGAATCTATGCATTACAACTCCTTGATCTAAATTTTTAATCTGCACTACTTCATTGTGAAAATGAGCTATTTGACAATGTCGTGAACTAGGCCCTCACAGCTTTATTTGAAGTTGCTAGAGATTTTTTGTGCAAAAGAATTTTAAAAGTTTTGTAGACCATCATTGCCATCTTGAATACTTGCACATGTTCCACCAGATCTTGTGTGTTTGTAGTATTTTACCATCTGCGAAGCTTTGAAGTGTGATGGCATAGGTTCTTTTTTAACTTCTTCAACGAAAGCTTTTTCCACCAAAGCTTTTTCCACCAAAGCTGTGTATGTCGCCCTTTAATTCCTCTGTCAAATCGCCTTTACCTTTCTATGTACTAGTATTGTGCATCTATTTTTATATATATAATCATTACAAAACCTACGTGCGTCCACTTATTCGGTGTTCTTGTACAAAGGTTATGTTATATATCCATGGTATAGCTGTTCCTGTATCAATAGTAGGCTCCGTTGGTTTTGAATGTGCATAGCTTTGATCATCATAATCACTACTTTTTGACATTGAATCCTATGTTTCTAAAAAAAGCTATGAGGCTGCCTAGATGAAGGCGGTGTAATCCTTTGCGACTCCTTTTATTTCTAATGCACTTGTCTTGAACCTATGTTGTATTTAAATATTTACAACATCCATCAAAGAAGTTGCAACTTGCTTGATTGCTCTCAAATTGGGCCTTGTATCTACCATATCTTGCTCAAGCCTCTTGACTTGTGATGCTAATGGTGGATCTCTTGATATTGCTTCATTTGGCACCTCTCCAAAATTCATTCGAGAGGAAGAAAAACCACTTGTTTCTCCATTGTTTCCAAGACTTAAAGCATCCATGTATGGCAATAGCAAATTTTCATTGACAAGATTCACCATGTGGTATTCGTAGATCAAAAAGAACTTGACCCAATGGTGAGCACCAAATGTCAACACTAAAAAATAGAAGGGATAATGTGGAATCAAGACTTTATTGATCAAGAATGGAGAGAGTTTACAATAGAAAGAGAATGAAGAAGAAATAATCTCCTCTCCTAGGTTTAACATTGGGGTATTTATAGGATACTACATAGGATCACCCTAGGATTACAATTCTACTTGGGTTGGTGTTTGGGTATTCTAGTTCTAGTGGGATTAAACCTATCTAATCTTGATAGGACTCTTTTAGGATATCTCCACATTTTCTAATTCTCATAGGACTCAATTTAATATATAACACCTTTTTTGCCCTGAACTAAACTAAAATTTTATAATATAATAATCATATTCTACTTTTATGCTTAATTTTGCAATACAATGCCATGAAAGTGTAATGTTTATACTTTTTTTCTTCAACTAGGGATGGTTCTAATGAAGATTTTATGGAGTTGTATTTATATATATTTTGTTATATATATAAACTTACATATGTGTTTCTACTCGAGTATTTTGTTATATATGAACTTGTGATTATATTTTAAATTATGTATTTTGTTATAAATATAAACTCTTATATTTGCTTATGTATATGTATCACATATGAATTAAAATACATATTTTAAAATAGGTTTAATAATGTTTTAAATTGTATCAAACTTTATAACATTTTATGTGTACATAAATATAATAATTATAGAAACTCGCACCTGGCCCTTGCGACCTAGTGGCAATAGCCACCCCGGTGCATTCCCCTCTCCCCGGGCTGGGTTCGAAACCCGCCCCTTGCAAATATGTTCAAAAAAAATAATTATAGAAACTCTATAATTATTACTATTTAAGTCAAGTAGGTAAATATTATGCCGAATTACGATACAACGTTGTAACTTCTAAATAAAATGTTAAGATTACAAAAAAGAAAAAATATTATCATTAAAAATATTAATTTTATTTAATTTAATAGATAAAATAGTTAATAATTATAATTAATAATTAATAATTAATAAAATAATTAATGTTTATTAATTAATAAAATAAAATATATTAATAAATTGATATATTCTTATACTGTTTAAGAAAAAAGAAAAACCAAATTTTGGTGACCTAAAGCCTTTTACTGTGCCAATAACCCCAGTCCAATCACCACTACCAAAAATCCCTATGAGCATGCTGGCAGTGCCCGCAGCCGTGGGGCCCATTGCTTGCAATTCCCATCATTCCCAATTCTTATTTCTCGGAACGGCGGGAAAAACACTGCCCCTCCTATCTTCGGCACTCAACTTCTTAACATCATCCTCCATTTAAAAGTTGGACCAAATCCAAAATCCCTCCACCCGCCCCACCCCTAACTCCTCTCTTCTACCAACTGTCTCCGATGTCCGGCACAATCAACGTTCTGAACGTGGCGGAGAAGCCTTCGGTTGCGAAATCGGTGTCAAGCATCCTCTCCCGGAGCCCAAATCCGCACTCGCGAGAGGGCCGCTCTCGTTACAACAGGATATTCGAGTTCAATTACTCGATTCGTGGCCAGCCATGTCATATGATCTTCACCTCCGTCACCGGTCACCTCATGGAGATCGAATTCGAGGAGCGCTTCCGCAAGTGGCACTCCTGTGATCCGGTTGACCTCTATCAGGCTCCTGTCTGCAAATACGTTCCCGAGGTCTTCCTCTTTACCCTCATTTCTATTAATTCGCACATCTATATGTGAACCTGGATTGAATTTTTACTATTAGGCGAACCATAGGACTATTAGAACCCAACTTCCATGCCTTTAGTTGACTAATTATTTTTCTTTTATTGAATTTTTTATTTTTAGGAAAAGAATGATATTAAGAGGACGTTGGAGGAGGAAGCTAGGAAGTGCCAATGGCTGGTTCTGTGGCTTGATTGTGATAGAGAAGGAGAAAACATTGCTTTTGAAGTTATAGATGTTTGCAGAGCTGTGAACCATCATCTTGTAATAAGAAGGGCTCGATTTTCTGCTTTAATTGATAGGTTTCCAATGCTAATGTTTCTTTTACAACTTTTGATATTTTTCTTTTGTCCATATTACATTGGTTCTGATTTTGGAAATGCTAGGGAAATCCATCATGCTGCACAGAATCTTGTGGAACCAAATCAGTTGTTTGCAGATGCTGTAGATGCTAGGCAGGTAAGTACTTCCCTCAAAGTGCTAAAAGCCATGTAACTCTCTTATGGTTGATAAATTTATATCTAACTAGCATTTCCCAACCTGCTTTGTGGGCTGTTTGGGTGTGTTCGACTTTAAAAGAAAAAAATATAGCTAAAAATTTGGGATGTATTTGGTAGTTAAACTACCTTAGGCGTCCTCTTGACTTTATGAAGGATGCAAGCTCAGTAGTAGTCCAGATGAAGAAAAATGGGTGAAGAAAGGGGAAAAGGTGAAGTCTTGGTGATGGTGAGGGCGTTTGGGAGCCATCAGAAATGATGTTGTGGAGATGAAATGGAGAAGGTGAATGGAGGTTTTGTAGAAGAGAATTGGTGGAGAGGAACGATGGGCTGAAATTTTTCTTTTCTTTTTTTTGTTTAGCCATCAGGTGTCCTCAAACCAACTTGCATGCAGTTAGAGACTAATCCATTCCCTGTTCTGTCAAAGGTAAGCCATCAAGAGGATAGGCTGATATAATAAAAGAAAGGAGATACAGAAAGGAAAGGGAGGTCATTTTGACAATTCTGCCCCTATATAAAAAGATAATTATAATTATTAAGGTTCCATTTAGTATTTTTGTGATTTTGAGTTTTTGGTTTTGGTTTTAAAAAATTTAGAAACCCTAGAATAAAATTAGAAAATTCTATATATTAATTAACTTTGAAGTTTTAGGTATTAGTTCTAAAATTTTATATCTAATGAGTTGTCAATTTTAAATTTTAATTTTGGTTTTCAATTATTAATTTTGATTGTTTGAATACTGAAAACCAAAACTAAAAACCCAATACCAAAACCATAATCATACTAAACGGAGCTTATCTACTAATTAAATTGCTCTCCATACTATAAGAAAATTACAACTCTCTTACAAAGTCATGCTAACCAAAATATCCTTTCAGCTAAAAGAATTACAACTTTCTCACAAAAAAAAAAAAAATGTCATTGTATGAGATTTTAGAGTATTCCTAAGATTTAGATTGCCCCCGAATCAGCGAGAAATTACAAAGCCACTATTAGAGTCTCTTTCACATTCTTTTTAAGGGTAAAAGAAGAAAGTAAAATGACATATTTAAGTGAGAGAAAGAAAGAAAGAGATAGTAGAGTAGAGAGACTGAGACAACTTTTCTTAAGTGAGAGAAAGGAAAAAAAGTGAGAGTAAAGAGAGAAAGGAATAAATAAAGACTTAGAAATCTTATTATTAGATTACCATGCTTGTAACCCACGTGACTGCCTTGTTGTTACTTGTTAAGATATGGTATAATATGGTCACATATTCATGTTTATGATGATTATTGACTATTATTGTGATTGATCTTCTAATTAAATATTAGACCTGACTGACTTGTAGAGGGAATATTCTTTAGTTATTTTTTCCTGTAAAGCCTATATAAAGACTGCCTGTACATTGATTTAGTCATAAAAACAGGAACCTTACTTCACAGGTTTCCCTTTTCCTTTTGTTTTCTAGCACTTGTTTATGCATTTTCTAACTTCTGTTGGAAAACATGCTGTTTACAGTTGTGCATTGTTTATTATGATTAATCATGGAATACTTTTCCAGGCAATAAATTTGATTTTTCAAATTTGGCAGGAGATAGATCTAAGAATTGGTGCCTCTTTCACTAGATTCCAGACAATGCTGTTGAGAGATAAGTTTAATATTGATTTTTCTGCTGATGATAAAAATCTTGTTCTAAGTTATGGTCCATGTCAGGTGAGATTGACAGTGAAACAAATCAGATATAGCTAACATGCTGTTCACAGTACTTATGCTTTTTCTGTCTTATGTTATGTCCCTTTTGAATGCAGTTCCCTACACTTGGATTTGTTGTGGAACGATATTGGGAGATAAATTCACATGAGCCAGAAGAATTTTGGACAATCAACTGTTCTCACAAATCAGATGAAGGCATGGCTACCTTCAATTGGATGTAAGCTGGAAAAGCTTTTTGCATTGTTATTTTTTGTTCTTTCTTTCCCTTGCTTTCAGTATTTTCACTTAAAAGGATTGAGTTAGATACTATAAATTTGCAGGCGAGGGCATCTTTTTGATTACACTTGTGTGGTTATAATTTATGAAATGTGTGTTCAGGAGCCAACTGCAACTGTAAGTTCTGATCACATGGCGTACTTTACTTTGAACAATTCCGATTTTAGAAATGCAGAAATAACAAGTAATAATATTCAGCATTTTAATTTTAATTGCAATTTCATATGCAGGTAAAAAATGTTCGACAGGCAGAAAAGCTGAAGTATCCTCCACATCCTTTGAGTACGATTGAACTTGAAAAGCGTGCTTCAAGATACTTCCGTATGAGTTCTGAACATACTATGAAGGTAAGCAGCTGGAAGTGAACACTACATCATTATAAGTGTCCATATTTTTAGCTATTATGCTCAGTGAGAACCTAATTATAACTTTTCTAAAAGGTTTCTCCTCAAAAATCTTTCTTAGTATTTATTTGAAGTTGTAAAGGTAGTTTTTCGGATCTTCTGTGCTATGTATTTGACAAGGTAGAAAGAAATCACCAGAGGCAAATTCATCCCTGGTTTTATCTCTAAGTGCTGGTTATATGAATCTCATGTTCCTCTCTCCTGAAGCTTTATCTGTTAGTGGATCAAGATTTCCTTTTGTTCCTGAGAATGAAATACCCACGGTGGCTATCCTTGATTGAATATTGGTTATTTTTTAAAGCATTTCCATATAAAACATAAGGCAAGGGGAAATTTTAGGCCTTAAATTCTAAAATTCTGACTTGTCCTTGTTGCCACTCATTCACACCCCTTCTTGGCCATATTTTTCTGTGAAGAAATTCAAGTCGTTGTAGAGTTGCTGCCTTATCCGTGCAGGCATTCCTGCAATCTATTATAGATTTTTTGATTAAATTTGAAACCACTTGTGTATGGTGTGGGGAATGCAGTAAGGCCAGGTCTTTCCTGGTCTGTTGGTCTTTCTACTTTTTGCTTCTCTTGGACTTTTCTCTAGATCTTTTCCTATCTTCAGTTCACTTAAACAGATTTATCAAATTGATTAAGACATTTAACTCAGCTAATTCACACTTAAGTGGCTTCAAGTCACAGTAATCGACCCATGACTCCCCCGCAAATCATGACTCTATAACTAGTTATTTATATTTTGCTGTTCATTCATTTTGGCAATACTTCTTTTCTTAGTCCTTTTTAACCTTGTTACAATCCAACTTCGAAGCCAGTTACTTAACATGTTCTCTAGCCTAAAATTAACTCATGTGGTTTCACTTTTATTGTTTCTAGGTGGCAGAAGATCTATATCAAGCAGGATTCATCAGTTATCCTCGTACAGAAACCGATTGCTTTTCTAGCAGGACAGATTTGCATGTCGGTAACTTGCTTCTTTTTGACAAGACAAAACATGTTTTACTTGTGGTAATAATCTTTGCTAATATACATGTTGCAGCCTTTGAGATGGTACTCTATATAATATAATCCCTTCAAAAGCTTTTTGAACCACCTCAGGACATTAATGTCTTGATGATGCTTGCTTTATTCTTTTATCTTATTGTCATATGTTCAAGGCAGCATTTTAATTTTATAGTCTGTCACCATATCAACATTTTCCAGTTCTTCAGTGGGTTGGTTCTTAGTTGTTACTTGCTGAAGTATTATTAGTTTTTGATTAAGCTACTAACCATTTTATGTTCTATTTTGATGTAGATCATTGTTCAGGAACAACAAAGGCATCCTGAATGGGGTTCTTATGCCCAGCGATTGTTAGATGCTGGGGCAGGACTCTGGAGAAATCCTACTGGTGGTGGACATGATGACAAGGCCCATCCACCCATTCACCCAACAAAATTTTCAGCTGGAGAGCCTAGATGGAGTCAAGATCATTGTGTAAGTTCATCTACTTTCCAATTCACGTAATTTCATTAGATTTTTTTCTTTTGATCAGCCAAATAAAAAAATTATTATTTACTACAACCCAATACATCCATAGACAACACATCCAGAGAAACAGAAAAACATCTAAAGGGCTCAAAGATCCAAGAGAGCAAACAAGAGCAACACACAAGCAATTACATGAACAACCACAGCCATATCACACAGCTACCAAATCACAGATAAATCTGCTTCAAAATGCTCAACTTTATCCATTAGATGCATTGTGGATTTCATCATCTTCTGGAAATTTAACTTTATCCATTATATCTCAGAGATTGTATGAACTGGTTGTCCGTCATTTCTTGGCATGTGTATCACAACCAGCAGTAGGGGCTGAGACTACAGTTGAAATTGATATCGCTGGAGAATTATTTTCAGCATCAGGAAGAGTGATATTGACTGTGAGTATATATATCATTCTCAAGATTACCTTTTCTATTTTTGATTGAAGATTTGTCTGATTTCATAATGGCATCTGCTATTTAATTTGTATTGCATTTTGAGTGTCTAAACATGTTATCCTTGAGCAAAACTTTTTTATTTTTGAACTAAAACAAATTTAGAGAATTTTTATTATTAAATAATTGGACCTAGGTTGTTTCTCCTTTAAAAGCATTCATGTAGTGAAAGTGTAAGAAAATGTGAGTTCTGTTTTCTACTAATGGCTGGAGGAACTTGTAACCTGAAAGTTTTCTATTTTTCTATAAATATCTTTCATCTTTTCTAGATGAACGTCGACATAATTCTTTAACATAGAAAATTTTTAGTGTCTAGTAAGCAGTTAATACCAAGCAGCATCCTTACCCTCTCAGTCTTTCCGTTTTCCTTTAGAATTGACTACAATGTTGAAGCTACCTTCTAATAGTTGTAGATTATATGCTGGATGGATCACTCTTTTGTTTATGTACTAGTGCTTTTGAACTTATTTCTTTTTTATCTAACCAGAGAAATTACTTAGATGTTTACCGTTTTGAATCATGGGGAGGTTCAATGATTCCGAGCTATGTTGTTGGACAACAGGTTTGTTATTTTCTTCTATTTTTATTAATTAAACTATTGTCAATTGGATGTTGAATAGTATTTATATTGTTCCTATATCTTTGATATGCTCTGCTTCCATTCTTAGTGACCTTGTTCTACTTTTCATCAATCATTCCCAAGTTGCAATTGTCAACTGTCAGATTGTCAACCTTACACAGAACTTAATTGCTAGAGTAAATTATTGCCCTAGAAGTTTGCTCTTGTTGATTTTGACAATGAGGCTAGTTAAGTGGGTAAATCCCAAATGGAAACATAACAAGAAACATGTGTTTCCCACATGTAAGGGCTGCTTAATCTATTACTAATTGGTTTTAAGCTGGCACCTTGCCTTGTGTTTCAGCCTACATGCCTAGCCTGCCTGATAGGTTATGAAGGTCATATTGAACTTCCATGTGTCAGCCCACATGACAAGTACTGAAGATCATACAAGGCTTGGAACAGGACCTGAACTTCATATAGTGTCCATAAAAAGGGTGTAATTAAGTCTATGTGATAGGTCTTGAAGTTCATACCTTGTCTACATGTGACGAGGGCTTGTATTGTAAAGTGAGAAAATCTCTTATCGAAACATAACAAGAAATGTGTGTCCACCTATTACCAATTGGTTTAGAGTTGGAACCCTACCCTTGTTTTGGTCCACTTGTCAAATTTTCACAAAGCTTGGCTAATATTTTGTCTAGTTAACTTTTAATCTTTTAATGTCTTGGGCCTGTCACTTTAGAAATATGGCAAAGAAAAGTCTTAATAGAAGATCAATTGTTTGTCCAAAGGGAGGTAGCAAGTAAATTAAGGTGCATCAGTGCTTGATAATTTGAGGTCATGTACTACACAAATTTATTGCTGGACCATATCTGCTAAACAATCCATGTGAAAGAGGGGCAGCATGATATCAATATTGGAATTGAAATGGATTAAGTATTTAAAATCTGATGGTATTACTCAGTTTGTCTTGTTTCTTATATGAACAAAGTGAAAAAGAGAACTCTTAGATCCCGTCACAACTCAGGCCCATCTCATTTGCAATGCATATCTGATCTTCTGCATTCAAGCCAAATACCTTCTTCCTTTTATAGAATGGCAGTTTGGGTCTGGACAGATTTACATGTTCATTATCTTATTACAGTTCATCCCAACAACTTTGACTCTTGACTCAGGAGTCACTAGACCACCACAGCTTTTGAGTGAAGCTGATTTGCTGACTTGTATGGACAAGGTAAGAAGCTACATACTTAGGTTGTGATTTGCTTTAGAATCTGTTCTTTAAATGTTTGTTTTGATTTGCAATCCTCTTTTATTTTTTTATTTTTTTCCTTTGTGTATAAGGCTGGGATTGGTACAGATGCAACCATGCATGATCACATTAAAAAGCTGCTTGACAGATTCTATGCAACAAAGGATCAGAATACTCGTTTCTGTCCCACCAGTCTTGTAATCTCTTTTGTCTGCTTCCTAATCTAGCTTTTTATGATAAGTTTTCTTGTTCTTTAATCTTGTTCTCATGATACGGAGGGTGAGGGCCTAAGCAGGGATGGAGCTTGACTAGAATTTGAGGGATCAATTAATTAAAAATGAATTTTTTGGAGGGCAGACTAATAAAAAAACAATGTTTTCCAAAATTCTTGGGGGGTGGCCAACTTATAACCAAGCTCTGTTCTTTGGCCTAAGATCAAGCCAAAAGGCATAGCCAATGGACAACTGGTGAATATTCCCATATTACCCTGATCTCAACTAATCTCCTTAACTAATAGATGCTAGTTGGGGGGCCATCTGCATCTGTTTCCTTGTGTTAATAAATTGTTTATGACCCTGGGAAAAAGTATTGCTAGTTAGAGAGAAATATAGAAGCTTGAAAGTTGGAGGGTTATCTGAACTTTTAAGTATGCATTTTTCTCTTTGGAAAATGGTCCTTATCAATCAATATAAAGCTTTGTAACAGAAGCAATCTCTGGGAATTCACTTTGTCAATAAAATTTGATTCTTTTCATATTATAGTGGGCAACTTTAGGAAATCCTTACTTTAGAATAGGTAGATGTTAAAATTGAAACATAATTAATTCACATCATGACATACATTTTATCCTTCAACTGTAGTACATTTCCAGAATATAAAGATTTCCAACCGCTGAAACAATCCATGTGCTAAAGAGTGGTTTGTAAGAAACCATCACATGGAATCTTGATAAGGCTAGACTGACCTGTTCACCAAGGCATTGCTAAGTGATGCAGTGCCACTAAACAGAAATGGTTTCCTTAGTCCGAATAGGAGAACAAGTTTTTGATGTAGGCAAATTTGAAAGATTTATTTTCTTGGCTCTTACTGCAAGCTGGCTAAGGTTGGAAAAGATGTAGGGTTTTTCTTAAAGATTCTTATGTTATACAACTTTCCTTCTTTCCATGCCTTTTATCTTGATTATAAGATTGATCTAAACTGATTTCTTATGTTATAGAACTTATGTATGTAGGTTTTCTTTCCATGCCTTTATCTTTGATTATAAGATCTGTCAAGTTAGTAGGCAATCTTTTGACTGGTATGCTTGTGACTTATTTTTGCAAGATTTCTCATTTTTTAGTTTCAATTTTACTACAAACTATGTAAACTTCATGGTTGATATCTAGACAGCATTTTGCATCAAAACCATGCTTATGTATTTTGCTTCTAACTTTTTATGCCGTTACTGATATTAGTTGAATGCAAATCTCAGGGAGAGGCACTAGTTATGGGATATGATAACATGGGGTAAGTAATTCATTGCAAGGGCTAAGCACAATATATGAAATTTTAAATTATCCTTGTTTAATCTTTGGTATTGAATCTGTCATAATCAGCTAATTATCATATTCAATATAACTTGGGGGAAGACTAGCAGTATATTATTTGGTAAAGATGAGTAGCTAAATTGTATGTTTCTGATTTGGGTTTTATAACAATACCTGGATATAAGCCATGAATGATATTATGACATCTGCCCTGTTGAGTTGGCAGTGCTTTTGGATGCCTGGTTCTGATGGTATTCTTTTTTGTTAAACATTTTTCTTCCTATTTGGGAGTAACAGCTACTTTACGAACCTATATTTTCACTCAAACTTCACCATAACTAGTGAAGCCACTAGGTATAACCAATTAGCAGTACCAAAGAAGTGCATTTGGATCTTAAGTTCATAACCAATTAAAACAAATTAAATCATGACCTTTAAAAATAAAATGAGTCTTATTATTCAATATAACTTAAAAGAAATAACTCAAAATAGAGTTCCCTTGTAAATAATTGGCTACAATATTGTCAAGATGCAAATAGTATAGTGCTGCTGAACTACCATTGATATGTTGGAAATGTGATAAACAAGTCTAAATCACATTTGGAGTCAAAGCATCTCTGGAACCACTAGAACTCTGGAAATCCATCTGCTGAACTCTGAAATTTTTATTAATAGGAAACTTGATTATAAAACATGAAAAAATGGTCTTTGTATGGAGTACAAATTTGAAAAGTTCTAAGAAAATGAATACACTAATTAGATTAGATTTCCTAAAATAATTAAACCGAAGTCCTAATAAAATAGAAAAAAATATAAAGTTAAGCCCAATTAAAATTAAAATGGGAAAGCCCAATTATAATGGGAAAACAACCCAACTAAAATCCTAAATAAAATAGAAACCAATTAAATTTGTCTTGAAGAAGTCAAATTGCTCAAGATTTGATCATTTGAACCCATCAGGCTTTTCTACAGATGTTAAGGAATTGATGCCTCTGTTAACTATGGTACTGAATATAAAATTGAGAAAATAATAACC